TGATAGTTACCATTAGCCCTTTGGTTGACTTCAGGCTCCACAGATGGGAAGGGACATCAGAGTGAAAAAAAAGTCGAGAGGGGGGTGAAATAGAAGAGTGTTACAAAGATGTAAAAGAGAGAGACACCAAGGTAGAAAAAAGGTGAGGCGAGCAATGTTGAAGTAGTCGAATATGGACAAAGGTGAGGTGAGTACTGTAAAAATAGTCGAATATGATATACAGTGGGGTCGTGAGAAGTCAACTACCGGTTAATAGACTTTTTTGCCGTACGAGCATACACGAAAGCCGAGTGATAGACTTTTTTGCCGTAAGAAAATACGCTGCCCAGGGTGCACCACGTGGAGGTAAGTCTATCGCACACAAACTTCCGGTTAATAGACTTTTTACCGTATGAGTATACGTTTCCCAGGGTGCACCACGTGGAGGTAAGTCTATCGCACACCCACAGAGTGCACCACGTGGAGGTAAGTCTATCGCACACCCCACTTCAAAATATTAGCCATTTGAGGTGAACTAGAATCGAATGTTCTACCAAAGAGTACTTTACCAGAAAAGTAATAAGCTTTGAGAAAAAAACAAAAACAGAATTAAATTATTAGCTTAAAGTAGCCTTAGCAGTTCCAAGTTCGGGTTCTAGGTTGCAACCGTTAATTGTTGTTTCTCAAATGTGAAGAAATGTTGCTTTTAATGTTAGGTAGCAGGTTGTAAATGTTGCACTTTTGAATATATTGACGAAATCGAAGTCAGACTAATGAATTTCATTCAATTTTATCATTTTCTGTCGGTTTTTACTGCTAAAATCTCCCTCGCATAGGCCAATTTTCAAAATTACGTAGTATGCTTCAAATGGAAGTCCCATTAACTTGAGTATATTCTTTTTATGCACTCATTTTTGAATGGAAATTCTTAATTTTCCTCCCTTTGCAGACCTTGGATTAGTGTGCGATTCCAAGTCAGGCTAAGCCACATTAAAGAGGTTTTCAACTGTTCTCATAGGAGGAATCCAGCAACTCCATGTTTCTGCACTACCTAAGTGTAAAATGTTAATACGGAATGCATTCTGGGGGAAATCACTGATGCGAATCGTGTTTTGGTGTAATACTTAGATTCTTTTACAATGGCTACTTCCTTAAGCAGTCTAAGCTGGACTCAAATGAACCCATATTGCTCAAATAGATTCTGGAATCAGTGCAGTGGTTTTGAATGTCGAGATACACTTCCCTGTTGATAGATGTCACCATTTCAATTGTCATTAATACCCATTCGGTGAATGAAATAGCCAATTGCAATGACAAATGCAGGCTAACATAGGCTTCTGGTTCCGCTTTAATAATGACAAATGAGATTTCGATGGTGTTAGGACTCTTGTGGATTTTAAAATTAATACCTCTGACGATTAGTGCTGAGAACAGTTGCGATAGTAAACTTGCACTTAAGCTGTGATAAGTGTGAAACTTCTTTGCATTAACTGAATTATGGAACACGCAATAACTTGATGCAGATACGTACGCCAGCAATACTTATCAACTTCAGCACAATTGAGCTGGTGCTATTTCAGACGAATTTGATATTCTTCTATTCATACTTGCCTCGTGTCTCAAAACTACTGTTTCTACTCTCCATTATAACATTAATATTTAATGTAGGACTAATGATCAAATTCTTGAATTTCTAGTAAAAAAACTATCAGAGATGTGTATTTATTTATTTATTTCAAATGGCAGGCTTTATGATAGCTATCATCAGCCAAAGGGCTAATGATAGATGGGGGGGGGAATATCAAAGTGAGAAAAATTTGAGAGGGGGACAGAAAAGCGATTCAAAGATGCAAAAGAGATAGACAGACAGAAAGGCAGAGAAAAGGTAAGGTGAGTATTGTGGAAGCGGTAGAATATGACATACAGTGGGGTCATTGTAGTTTGAAGTGAGAAGTCAACTGCCGGTTTATAGACTTTTTTGCCGCATGAGTATACGTTGCCCAGGGTACACCACGTGGAGGTAAGTCTATCATACACCCCATCACAGATATGTATTTCCAGGGGGAATTTATTTAAAGTGTTTAGAGCTTGGTGATGGTCATACCTCCATTTTTCTTTTTTTCGTACAGAACCCTAATTAACTTCCGCTGTGGGGAGGGGGATTTATGGTCTGAAAGAAGAGTGAAAATACCAGCTACAATTGAACCGAACCAGCAGCTGGTTCGAAATCAGTAACGAAAAACCACCCGGCATCCGAAAGTGGGGATACGTATATATACATGGGTGGGATGGGGATCCTACTTTCGGCTTGTGAAATTCATGTTCCTTTATGCTCTAATTTCGGTTCCTCTTGTTGTCAACTGCTATTGTGCTACCGTGGACAATTTGTTCAAGCTCATTCATGAAATGGCTAATAGCAGGTCTAATTAGAAGCTTACTTTCTACCACTTACCTTTAGGATCAATATTAACCAGCGAAAGTGAATTTTCCAATCACTGGATGCTCCCAAATGGAGATCGAATTCGTGAACATTGACTTCACAAACACATCACTGACTCCTTATACAAGCTCATCCAGCGCTTGTTTCTCAAACCTCACCATTGATTGGTTAGTAGAATTCTTGACCCTGTCTAATTAGAATTCTATTTTTTGTTGAACACTGCGTCAACGAATGTTAAATCCCTATCATTGTATATATCCAGGTATAAGAGTTGACCACTATGTCATTAACGCACATTGTTAACATAAAACACCCATCTGTGTGTCAGTATGGCATTGATGTCTGAGACATCAATAAGTCTACGTTCGTTGTGTCCTCGTGTGGCAATTGAGAGTGGCAAGTGTCTTCATGCACTATTTGCATAATATTATTCAAGGGGACGTCATACGAAGGCCCCTAGTCTTTCATCTGCCAATCTAAACCCACCCACCCCCCACCCCCATCTGTCTCTCTTCAATTCACCTCATTCACCAGTCACCGGCTGAGTGATTGCACATAAAGTCAACGAGCCAGACACATGAAAGATCAATAAAACATGTCTCGAGTAGTGGCGGTTAGTTTACTTACTCATGCATTCGCTTAATTTGTTGTGACTGACAAGGTAATGAGTGCAAAAAATGTTCTTTGTTTCAGAAACACCATCCAAAAGGCAAAAGTTCGAAACCCACAACTACTAAGATGCTATTGCCGTAAGGCCGATAAAGGTACTATTACATCTAAACTTTCCACAGCCCCTCTCTTCCCCCCACCCCCCTCCCGTTTCAATTTGTAGAATCGATAATGCCGTTCAGTGGAATTTCCCTGACGATTTCTATAATAGTGGTGGAAACTTGATCGTTCCACCATAGTTCTCATAGAGACTGTTCGGATGACTATCTACATTAGTGCTTTGTAATACTAGCGAAGGTCAGTTCAAAGCCACAAGATCTCTAAACACCTTCCATTTCCCTAAGTAATTGCTGCAAATGCCTTTTTATCATATGGCTTTGTTAAGGGAAATGCTTAAGATCTTGAAAGCATATGATCCAATCTCCTTACATCAACTGAGCATCACAAGGTAGATAAAAGTAAATCTAGAGCCAGATAACTTCAATCGAATTCTGAGTCTCATGGGTGTCTAGAAGCTGGCAAATCCCCATCATCATGTGATAGATCGTTCAATGAATACACAAATATGCAGTCAATATATAGGAGTGTGCGTTTAAGCAACTCCTTACTATTCAACCAAACCACAGAAATTTTCCCGTTTTATGCAAAATGCCAGCATTTTTTACATGAATTCAGCCTCCAACTGAATTTGCAGATGTTTACTTAAGATCTTGAGATTTTCGATTATTGTCTTGGTGTTTAATGCTTATCACTTTTTCCGGGAACTTTTGTCTAGTGGGCTTAAAAGACTAAGCCGATGGCTTAGAAGGCGGCAGATGGTACTTTTCAAGTACGTCAGAGTAATCACCATTGCGCACACTGTATTTATCGCGCACATAAGTTGACGACAAAAAATTCTCCGTGTTTTGTATGTGCGTGAGTGCGTTTGCGATTGTTTACACTCAACCAACTCCCATTTGTTTAGTCCGCGCTGTCAATTTGTCGATGGCGGCTGTCTCTAGCCCCGCACAACGCCAAAGCTTGTCAATTTTCATCAAAACTAATGATCAACCACGCCACTGCCACTGTATTGTTTGGGGGGGCGCAATCTTTTTATTCAGTTACTAGTTTTTAATCTCGCTTGCATACGCACAGGAAATTTCATTTTATAATTCGCGGATGACAGACAGAACGAGGGAGTTTATAAACCTTCGTCCTTTTCATCTCAAACTACCGCGCTTTGCATTTTTTTTTCATCATCTCCAACATGCCCGTACTGGCTTGACCACACCTTGGTAGCGTCTTTTTCATTTGACTCCCCCCTCCCCCTCCCCCTCCCCCCAAACTTCTTACTCCATAGTTCGACGCCATTACCCGCCTCCTCTTTACGTCCGGCCCCCCCCCCCATGTTTGCCATGCCCAAGTTAATAACCCCGTTGACCAATAGCTTAGGGCAGTAGACTCAAAAATCGGTGACATTGCATGTGGTCTAACTCACCTAAAACTCTGCACAGGATAAAGAACAATAAATAGAATAATTTTCCCTTAATCTCGGTCTTTTGTTTAAAATAAACGATTGTGAAATTTAAGGCCAGGATTGCCCCCTTGATAATTGCACCCTTTGGAATTTAATACGTGTCTTGTTCTTCCTCTCCCTCACAGTGCAAAATGCATTTTTTTAAACAGTTGTTTGATCTGAAATGCTTAAAGTTGCAAACACCGTATGTAGCCTGGGTACCAAGATAATTTAAAAAAAGCCCTGGATAAAACAAGGTAATAGTTGTGCAAATGATATCAAGTCCTTATTCGTCACCATTATTTGGTGATAAGCGTGCCAATAAAGGAAGGAGATTAGTTATAATTGCTAGCTTTAGTGAGATTCTCGCCTGCCATGAAAATGTCTACTTGCTCAGACGAAGTTACAGACTTGATATTACCCCCCCCCCTCCCCCTCCCACTTGCTCAGGAAAAAATGATAGAAGAGGAGAAGATCAGTGTAGAGAAAAGAAAGCGTGAACCCAGACACCCAGCAAAGTGAGTGTGAGAAAGGAGAGTAAAAACCGGGACTGAGTGTAAGTGCACGCAGTGCGCCGCGTGCAAGCACCACCTCATTGGCACAGCCAGCGCGAGCCAATGAGGTAAACGTATCGTTTGTCCACTCCTTAGGCATTGGTAGATTGTCCGCAGCACTGCTGTGAGGCGTATGCATGATGGATGTGCGTCAGTTTGTGTGCGTATCAGACAGGCCTCGTCTGCACCCCAGCAGGTTTCCTCTCGTGCTCGTACGTACGCACCAGCATGCAGACGCACGGGTGCACGAGATTTTGACAAATGCTGCTTAACCAGTAGTAGTAGAAGCACAACGCACCAACGCGCACTCACCCAGCGCATCACTTCAACGCAAGTCATTTATCAACGCGGCTGTGTGATAGTTTGTTCTTTGACAGCTAGCCGACGTTGTCTCCGACGTTTTCGCTCTCTCTCTCTCCCTCTCTGGTTGTCTTGTTCTACTTTTTCTTGTGTCTCCATCTCCATAGTCATTTCGCCAATTCCTATCTAACCCACTGCTGTTCAACTGTGGCTGCACGATTAGGCGCAAAAGCTCACAGCAGTAACAAAAATTATTTTGGATATCCTAAAAAATAACTGAGGAGACAGTGTCTGCCTTGCTGCTTCTTCTATCTGCGCTGTGGTGACGTCTACGCTGTCACACTCCTATAGCACCCACCTTGACACGTACATGTCTACCGTTTGCCAAAAAAACCTTTATTATCATTTTCACACCTGCAGACAAGAAGATTTTACGACAACTTCCTAGTTTCTTTCAGTCTTCTAGATAAGTCTACTACGAGTAAATTAACACCAACGACTTCCCTGATCCTGTCTATCTAATTTGTACCATGCCGGATTCTATCGGAAGTGCTAGCGGAACAAGCAGCAATAGTAATTTGGAAAAATCCCAACTTCAAGAGGTGAGTGTGGGCTTCTATTTCATGTCATTTTTTTAAACATAGAAATGGGTGGGTTTGAATTGGAAGATGATTCCACGTTTCCATTTGAGTTCAGTGTTGAGCGACAAGATGTGCATTTAAGGAATTGGTCAACTTCCTGTAATCCCTGCCGTTAATCTGTAACCATAGCTCTCTTTCTAGTGACTGACCAGATTAATTTTTCGCTCTTAAACAGAAACTGTCGGAATGATAGTATCTTTTCAATTAATCGTTTTACTTTATTTCCCGTTTGTCAGTTCTCTGACTACGAACAGTGCTGGTAAACGGTTGCTCTCAACTGACTATGGGTTTAACCAGATATGGCATGTATAGCTCACCATCTATAAAATATAATCCGGGGTGTATTACACTAGGCTGTCATTGATAGGTATTTATGATTAATGAGAAAACAGGGTCGCAGACACTAAGTAATGAGCACACTAAGTCCGAGCACCCCTCTTTGTTTTGAGCAGATTGGCAAACTCATTATTCTTCTTGCTACTCCTAATTAATGCAAAAGGGGTTGCATTTTTGGCCATTTGTGTTTACATAGAACAGGTGATGGAGGAGTATTTTCAGTTCCGACGCGTCGGCAGTAGCGGTGGTTTAGCCCCAGTGTTTGTTGGTGGGGCAATTTATGAGCCTTTGTTCTACCGGTGCGTGGACTCAGTGAGTAATAGCATGAGTGTGCAGGTGGATATGTACGTGCAGAAGGGAGAGGGTCTAACAGCATTTATCCGGCACGTCGTATTTGGTAGCTCAAAAACCCCCACCAGACGACTCTCGTTATAAACGTTGTCACAAAATTTGAGCAGTTCTTCGATCGCTGTTCTTCATTAATATCAGATTTCAGAGGCTTTCTTTGTGTTCTCGAAAAATGTGAACAATCATTCCTGTATTTTTAAAGCCTAGAGCACATTATCCTTATCAAACAATGGTCTTATATTTTCCCAATAGTTTATTCACCTCAAACTAGGGAATGTATATTGATATTTTCTTGCATTTTTGAGAACTATTAGACTATTCATATGAATGTGCTTTTAATCTAAAATCTCTAATGGTATATTTGAGGGAGAGAGAGTGGGGGGGGGGTACTTTTCTGTAGGCAGCGGGTCCGACCACCGTTGAGTCCGACAGGATCTAAAACTTAAACCAATAGCTCTGTCAGCATTGTTGATACCACAATGCAAATAAGGGCAAATCGTTAGGTTTTAGGGTTAATAGATGCTATTCATACATCGGGTTCCATTCGTTAAATCGGTAGTTAGAGGTTGTTCTCATATTCTTCTGCACTCTCTGTTGAATACGCTTCACAGTAAATTATTCAGCGATTAGATCGGTTAGCTGGCTGTAATAATTTAAATCAAAGTAGGTTACTAATCCCATTAATTGTTTGTGTGTACTTATATTTTTTAAATAATATTAGCTCCTGTTGATCTTGAAAGCTTCTAATACTTGAAAGCACCTTGGGAAGTATTGTTGAGTTTCAAGTTTTTCTTCGTATTATAGTCAAATTTTATCAAATTAATTTGAGTTGAGGGGTTTCTAATTTTAATAATATCTATTTGCATTTGATTCAATCAACTATCGGTTTCCAATAAGAATATCGCGCTAAGATGGGAATAAAATTTATGGAGATTTAATTAGTTAAGCGTCAGATAAAGAAGTTCTAATTTTGGGCAGTTAGAATGCGTCTGAAATTAGGTGATAAACCAGTACTTTAACAGTGCATATTTCCTCGCTGGTCTAAACCATGTCTAGACTATTCGAGTAAATAGGCCGAAAACACCAGCATGCTCTGCAGTTAGTTAGTCTGCACTTCAGTAGTCTTTCGCGTACGCATCAGTCAGCCTTTATATTTGGCTTGAAACGACAAAAAAATAGGAACACACAGACTCGCTATAGACGTAAATCATTGCCTCTATTTGCCTGTGTGTGCATGTGCGTGTGTGTGAGTGAGTGCACTGATGTGTTGGTGTCCAAGAGTGAGGTTCATATCTGTGCTCATCTTTGTGCGTGTGACTTATACCTTTACGTGTGCGAATGTTTGCTGTAATCAAAGTGAGCTCGTATTTCGCCTCATTCACTCACTGCCTTGACTGTTGAGTTTGGTGTATTTTTTTCATCGAATCATTCAGCTCCCTCTCTCTCTCTCTCTGGTGTACCTCCTCCTCCTCCTCCTTCTCCACCATCATCCTCAGAAACTCGACATTTGTCATGCGTCCTTTTTTTAAAGTCTCTCGCTCTCTTTCTACTGCTTCTTCACTCCCTCTACCCGTTTGATCAATAATTAATACGTCCTTTCTTTCCTTCGTGCCCAATAGAGAACGACTTCTTGTATTCGCTTATCCATCCTATGCCCCTCTCTCTAATGACGATATAAATGCAAAAATTGCGGTGATTACCTTGGAGGCATTCGAGAATTAAGATGTCTATTTCTTGAGCCATTAAAGCAATGAACAGCACCTTCAGATTTTCGTTTTTCTTTGTGGTTTTATGGTAATACGTGCTGAATGAATTCCTGGATCCAACCATTTCTCTATTTACGCCAGAAGACTTCACTAATACTCAGTTCACAAGAATGCTTAAGAACATTGTCTACGGATGAAAATCCAATACAGGTCTTGAGGGAATGGGATATTTGTCAATTTCGTGAAACACCGACAGAAAACGTCAAGACAAAAATTGGAAACTGGAAAAGCGGGGTTGGGAGGGGGGGGGGTCCTAGAAGTCAGTATCAAATTGTCTTACAGTTGTCGGAAGATGTGTTTGTTTTTTGCTTAGTCTACCTATCGTTCACTATGCTTACCTGACCTATTCGTTTGAAACGGGCGGAGGGCTTAGTCACTGGCGCGGTCTCTTTCGTCTTCTCTTCATTCCCTGTTCGTTCTCGCCTTTCCTTTTCCTTATTTCAACTCTCTCTCTCCCTCCCTAGGGGGGCGGGGGGTGAGGCTATGGGGGGGGGGAGCTGATTTTTCAAAGTGCCAGTGAAATGCCACTGGAATTGTTTACGCATCTCTCCTCTCTCTTTCGTTACTCCACTTTCTCGTTCTTCCCGGCCTAATTAATCTCTTTAGTTGCTTAAACCCTATTCCCCACCCTAGCAATTAAGAGCAAACCTCACATATACATATATGTACATTTTTGTATACAGTATAACATAATTCCAAATGTTTTCACCCTGTGTCTTAAAATTGTGTGCGTGAAACGACAATGATCTCTTTTTAAAAGCTTTAAACCGCCTTTTGGGATTATTGTTATTTCTTAACGAGCGTTGCTTATTTTCTCAGATTATTTATGGCTTTTGTAAAGGCATTGCAATGTTATTTAAACCTTAATATGTGGATTTGGGGCTTGCAAACTGTGTAGACATAGTTAAGGTTAAAAGGTGAATTACACAGCAGTTTTCATCTATTTTCTACCAAAGTTTAGAGCATTTTCCTTTGTATTAGGGACCCTACTAATAGACCTAGCTAAATTGATGGTAGAATTAGTAATAGTTTGAAACTAAAGGATTGAATCGTCGGCTTGAATGAAACCGGTTCTAGCTCTTGAAATTTAATTTCCTCCGATATTTCATCACTAACTGTTCTCACTCTGTTAGATGGGCCTCGTAACGACTTAGTAAGTTGACTAGTTGACCTGTTAAACTCAAATCAAATTACAACAACTATGTGTTTTTCGGTGATTTAAATTAAAAAGCCCTCTCACGTGTTGGCCACGTGCGGTCGTGCAAGTGCGTATCAGTTTCTTCTACCAATCAGAGACCGCACTCACACAAGTCGCACGAAGGAAGTGTACTTACAATAAGAACCCTCATTATTTCCCACTCATTTTCCGGTCAATTTAAATTAGTTTTCTTTTTGTCACTACGCGATCAAAGAAGAACTTTGACTCTAAACGGGTCGCATAGAGGATGTCAGAGGTTTGATATAACTGCCTACTTCCCCAGTATTTTCTAATAACCCATAGAGCATATTCTGTGTATATGCGTTAACTAGGTGATCTGGGGCGGCAGAATGTATGTAGTTAGATAGAGGAGAAAGTAAAAAGTCAGGAGTCTCTCTAATGTACAACTGCAAAAGGTCAGATCAAACGCTAATGCGTGTAACAACATTCCATGTGCATGCTTTGCTTTGTTTGCTTCACAGCAAAACTAAGACCCTTTTGTGCACACAGGCCCCCCGACTGGCCAGTTCATCCGTTCCTTCACCCTCTCTCTCACTCTAAACAGGCGCTTATTTTTTCGTCTACTTTCGTTTGAAGTATGCGTCGTGTAGTGCACTAGTGTTAGGGTATATTCCTACCCTATGCACATGCACATACCGCTTAATCGATTTTCTCTATTCATTTTAGAATACTCCACCCGGTGAAACCAGTCGTATAATTTCATCTGATGAGTCTCAACAACAACAAACTCAATCACAACCTTCTCAGACAACAGCACAAGGTCAAGGACAGCAACGATTCAATGGTGCCAGTGAGAGTTCGAACTCAACACCACCGAGTAACTCCACAAACGACGGTGCTTCATCTTCCTCGCGTTATCATGGCAGCAGCAGCAGCAACACAAATTACCCCACTTCAAGGTCAACTGACCCTCACCTCCAACCCAATGCAATGGGATCTAACTTTCCTCAAGACGCTTCCTCTTCTGTAACCCCCTCATCCACCCCTCAGCCCCATCCCACTCCTCTGTATTCCCCTAGGCCTCCTTCATATTCTATGTCTAGTAACAGACCCCCATCTCCTCCAGCTCAAAGTCGATTGACCGTGGATCCCAGGATGCCCTCCCATTCTATGCAGCAACAACCTACAGCCCAAGGTGGTCAACATTTTTCTGACCAATCCTATGCGCCACCGCCTCCACCTCCTCTAGCCTCGTCTCAACAGGCTATCTACGAGTAAGTATTGTTTTTTTTTTGTGCTAGTCTACTGAATGCTCGACATCAGTAGCAGTGATCTAGTAGTGAGGCATTTCGCTATTGTTTATCTCGTGTGTTGCTATTGCGGTTTCTCGTTCTTCCCTGACTTCACCCAAATTAATGTTTACTGCGGCTGGGCAACCTGAAGGCCTACTGACCATCGGTCTACCCACCGTGATAGGTAGTTGATTTTATCTCTAGTCTGACTCATCGCAACAAACTGCGAAGTTCTCCCCTTTACTCTCTCTCTCTCTCCCACTACTCTTTACTCTCCTCGGCTTATACTCGAAGAGAGTAGTGGTGACAGCAAGCATACATCACCTATCACTCCATCCCATCTCCCACTCCTTCCCCCCATCATCGATTCCTTTGCGTGTGTGTATATGTGCATCAAGTCTTGCTTATATGAGAGAGAGAGAGAGGAGAGAGGGAAATGACGGTAGAAGTCATAGAAGTTGTGATGATTGTAGTAATGGTGGTTGTTAGCGGCTGTACTGTTACGGTCTCTCCTTATCTTTCGCTTCTCTCTCTCACTCTCAGTGACTCATCAACCGAGTAGTAGTTGAGATATTGGATAGGGAGATAGAGGCAGAGAAGTATCAGGAGAATTAATGTGCCTTCTCTCTCCCCTTATACATGCTCGCACCCTACGATATTGTGTGTAGTAACCCCAATAGTCGTCTTTCACGTCAAACACCCAAACTAGATTTTTATGGGTGGTAGGGAAGGTCTAGGTAGCGTAAATCACCCTCATGGTCTAACTTTTGTCTTCTTGTATTCTAGTCATCCTCTCTATCCTCTTCTAATGCTGATCTTTGAGAAATGCGAGCTTGCCACTTGTACGCCCCGTGATAGAAGCAACTCGAGGACGTCAGCAGATGGACTTCAACAGAACCCAATGTCTACCGGTGAACCCACTGTATGGTCTTCTGTCTCCTTTGACAATGATATTCTAGCCTTTGCTGAGAATGTAAGTCAAAACAAGTTGTTCGTATTTAGTAATGATTATTTCTGGTTCTTTTACTTTCGCTCTTTCCTAAAACCACTACTGCCACTACCCCCATCACCCTTTCTCTATTTTCTATCTCCCCCCAACCTGGAATCCAAGAACGAGGTCGGTTCCAGTTTCAGGAACATTGACCATCTCCCTCTTTTTCTCCCCACTCTATTCTAACTAGGGTGGGGACGGGGACGCATGTACGGATATATCTCCGCAAAACGTAACGTAACTAAGTCCTGGATTAGGCCTAAATTTTAAGCCACCCGCTAGAAATCCTTGTGGATTATTGTGTGTGTACCCATGGCCCAACTTTGTGTTCATGTATTTTTTGCATAGGGGAAACCACGAGCTCTGTGTCGTATGCTCAATGTGCCCATTCATTCAATCATGCACGCGAAAGCTCGGTATCTTTCTAGACTAGCTCGCTCTATATTTGGGGAGGAGAATTTATAGCTGTCGCTTGTCTCTGATGATATATGTCCTCTCACTAACTCATTCAAGGGTAGGCTCAAACCAACCCCATTTAAAGACGAACAGATTGAAAGAGGCCTCATTCTTTGCATAGGCACGCAATTTTCCTCTCTCAAAATTCGACTTGTTTTAAATACTTCCGTTGTAAAAATGTTCCAGACATATAGATTGTGAACCGGAAGCTATTTTAGGTTGGCCAGAAGTAATTACACATACACGATGTAAACATTTAAGGGAGGAAATAGGGTACCAGCAGTCATAGCGTTCTCAATTGACAAGGGGGTTTGGGAATATAGGGGGACTATTGTGTCACTTAGTGAGGGTGTATGGTGTCTATGCAGGCACTTGCTTTGCCCATACAAGCTCGTGTGCACACCTTTCGATCAAATCAAGTGATTTATGACATCTGTCTAGAGATCAATAGTGCCACGTGAATGCCCAGTGTTTTACCCCGCTTGATTGGTGTGCTTCTGCTTGCCTCAAGGTAGCGTGGGCTTGTCACTTTCTGTAGCGCGGTAAAGCGTCGGCCACCGCCGCGGCATTTTGTGTGTGTGTGTGTAGGGGATGACAAGGCAACACCTATCAATCTAATCAAGCCCAGTGCCCACACCTGCACTGCACTGAATGATTAGCTACCCAACTGACTGACGGACAGTAATTTATTCTTCGTTGATGTTAACGCGCACAAGTACGTGTGTTGTGTATATGTACGTTGGTAGGAAATGACGGTTGGAAATGACTAATATTGTTACGGGGGGGATGGGGAACAGGGAGGAGGAGGTTGTCCACGACTTGGAAAAGGCTGTACTACTGGCGTGGTCTCGGTCTGCCTTCATCTGTGTCCCACGCTACCCCCCCCCCCCCATTTTCTCCATTCAGTTATGACTAAATGCCAGGACATCATGTTTACGCTTGGCCATTGTGCCTGGCATTCATCAGTCCCACCAGTCACCGTTATTTTTAGCTTATACATAAGTTAACTAACTCCCCTTCCAATCTCGCTCCTAATTAATCTCAATCTCATTTTCTTCCTTTTTTCCAGTTCGCTCGAAGTAACAAGTCCACTCGCAGTGGCGATAGCGAGATCGATTCTCTGGTACGTTACCTTCCTAATAAATAGTAGATGATCATCTCTCTACTGGATGGTAAATTAATCCTACCTCTATTAACCTCCTGCAGATACTCCAAGCTATTCGCGTCCTTCGAGTTCATTTGATTGAAATTGAAAAGGTGAGAATTGTTATTAACCCACTCTCTTCCCACTCACGCCTTCACACGGAATTATTTATACTTCATAGACGAGAGTAGAAAGTCCGCACTCAAGTAGATTGGATTGAGGGGTGTTGGGAGTGTTGCTGCTGATGCTGGCATAAGGTGACATGCTTGAGTTCTTTTATGTATTCTACTGGTCTACAGGAAGCACCGGTCACGGAAGTCGATTTCAGGAAATGCTACCACTGAGAGAGAGAGAGAGAGAGTAGATGAGTGTGGCAGAGCGAAAGAGTGAGAGAGCCTACTACTGCAACTCATTTAACTACCCCGGAAATTAACATGTCCTTCTCTCTCTCTCTATAAAATCAGCCCATTAATCGAACGTGTCTCTACCCAGCCAAAGCAGTGGAAAGTTACTCACGTATGAGTGTGATTAAAATGTCCTTAAATGCAATTATTGGAGAATTTTAACTGGCAAAGTTGTAACCATTCAAATCTCTTAGAACCAGAATTTTAGAATGACTGGCTGATTTCATACACCATAACACTTTCCTAATAGAATATGCATTATAAGTGGACTCATATAAAGTGACAGTTAATATTTCTGTTGTAGGTCCACGAGTTGTGTGACAACTTCTGCGAGCGTTACATCGCATTTTTGCGCAACAGAATGCCGACAGATCTGATGGTAGAAGACCGAGAGTCGGCAGGATCAACAGGGTCAGCAAATAGCCCACAGGCACCTCCTCCATCGTCACACGGGGGTCAGATGCGACCTCCCTACCTGCCACCAAGCATGGATCTTCACGGTCCATCGAATGATGCCTTCTCATCTCCCTATGCTGCCATGTACTCAGAGGATCCACATAGGCGGTACCCATCGGGCTACCCTGACCAATCCGCCGCTCACCACCCATTTTTCGAGAGCCAAGCTGCTGCGGCAGCAGCTGTGGCCTATCAAGCGAGTATGATGGGTCAGTTGCGGCCCCCGTTTCAATCAACAGATGTTCTGCCCTCTTCATCAAACCCCGCATATCCCACCTCAACACTTTTAGCTGAACACCATCAGCTACACCATCAACAAATGGCTGGGGTTCCTTTTGGAAGTGGAGGAGGTGATCGAGTGGGGATGTATAGCAAGAACAGTACCAATGGAGGTGGAAACATTCCAATGAATGCGGGAGGTGGTGGTGGGGGTTATTCACATCATCACCACTCCCATCAGCAACATCACCTAGGAGACGCCCTATCGATCAATACGTCCATTGGAGGAAGTGATCCAGTCTCAACAGCGGCCGCAGCAGCGGCGTCAGCAGCTGCTCAATTCGGCTTGAAGGTAAATCCCTGCAACTGAGAAAAAATGAGAGTGAAAAAGAGACAGATATATCCACATGTTTGCTTGTGAGCGTGTGCGCTTCTACACCCACTCCTATATACATACACATACACATGCATATACCACTAATAATTACAATATAGAGCTATCTCATCCCCCAAAAGGGCATGTGCTGTCTTTTTCTCCTCACTCTCATTTTCTCACTGGTGGTGTGTTATTTATTTGGTTCATTTAAGTCAAATAGGTGTGTGAGACTATAAAATCTAATCCCCCCTCCCCTTCCATCTCCCAACGAAAACAGCATGCTTTATAGTCCTTTGTGGCCCTTCTCTCCTTGCTTTTGCGTTGCCATTCCTTCTTTTGTTTGAATGCATGCTCCACTCATTGTGTCGCTTTGCCCAGGTTGCCTCATTCATTCTCTTCCCTCCCCAAATATGATCCCTCTCTCTCTGTGTGTATGTGTGTGTGTGTGTGTGTGTGTGTGTGTGCTAGGTGCTTATGTTCTCCGGGCGTTTTGATAGTAGTTATGGTAGTACTAGGGGTCTGGGAAGAAGCTCCAATGATGAGGATAATCCTTAAACACAAAATTGAGTTTGAATGGGATTAACAGTGCGTCAAATGGAGTGTTCGCGCTAATAAGCCCCCTATAATTATTCCCCCTCCTTAATCTTAAGGAAAGGCAACAACAAGGAGCAACAAAACTGTCAGGCTTAAGAAGCAAACAAGCTTCTCTGTATGTTTGTATGCAAATAGCTTAACTCTTGCCTATCCCATTGTTTTGTTATTTTATTCCAATGTCTTTAGGCTTGACCCTCCTCTCTTATACGGCTTCAGTAAGGCTTTCAGCTGGGCGCAACATGCATGCGTAATAAATCACCCTAACAGTAGTGATAGTAGTTGGGCTTTGAAAACAGCATGCCTTCACATGCTCATAAGATAAAGAGGGTACTAAGTCAGTGAGAGAGAGACAAGTTGTGACGCCTGATTTATATAGCAGTGAACGTCAAGAGAGAGAGAAAGGGGAAACGTGTTTAAACAAACTACAGACACCAGTGGTAGTGCCAGTAACAACTGTGCGTTAGACGTTGTAAAAGAAATGCAGAAAGGAGTATGCGGACAAGCTTGTGTGTGTATAGCTCTGTGTGCTAATAGGCGTCTGTCCCCGCCACACTCACCAGACGCGTGGTGTGTAGTACTGATAATGCATGGTTCGCGCGCATCTGTTGTGTGTAGTGAGGGGCAGGGAGGAGGAGGAGGAGGAACGAGAAAGATAGTGAACCCAGAGTGCTTTTTTCGTGAATTATTACCTCTCATCAATATATCACACGCGCACATGTGTACGTACACATTCCCCGCCACCACCACCACCACCAGTACCAACGTGCCTTGCTGAATTTAGCTCTTAGCAGGTGAGAGACTAGTTGACTCGATCTAGGATTCCATTTAGTAATAGTCGCTTGCTTTCATTGGTTGCATATCCACATGACCCTTACTCTTTCCTTAGCTATTCTACACCACTACGCGCTGTGCTTTCTCTGTGTGTCGAGAATGTTCTTTTAACCTTAATATATATATCTATGTATATATACATTCTTCCTCTTCTCCTTTGTGTATGTATCTCTAATTATATCTCCCTTCTTAGTGTTCGGGTCTCGGGAAGTAACGGAAGAGAGAGGTGGGTGTGTTTCGGGTCGTGGGATCATGCGTCGCTTTGTTCCTCTAATCCTCTTTTCTATCTCTGTATGTGTCTATGCTCGCTTATATATTGCTGATGGGGGTGGGTGGGTTGGGTAGGGCAGTGGTTCCCAACCTAGGCTCAGGGAACCTTAACGGGTGGGCGGTGAATAGAGGATAGGTGTTAGATGGAAGGGGGAAAACGCCCGGAGGCATTAGCAATATCATTCCCTCAGTGTCTGTGTCTTGATTATCGCTTTAACTCCAAACTTTAACACGAATAAAAATAACAAAAAAAATCAACTTGATGAATACATATACATATATATGTATATATGTGTGTATATACGCCCCTTAAATGGTTGGGAACCACTGGCTTAGCATACGCTTTCCCTTCTTTTCTTGGCTCCACAGCATTCACCAGCACTGCCAGGCAGTGGAAGCAGTCGCAAATCCTCGGACACTGAGGATACCGCTCACGGAAGTCCCTCAAACCTCGATGGGTCCAGAAGTGGCAGTCGGGGAGGGATCAGTGTTCATTCTCGATCTGAAAGTGGCTTAACTCCCGCTTCTATGCATCTCAATGGCACGGCTTCTCATCAATCCTCACGCTATCATCCGTCTTCGATTGGACCCCACGACATGAGCAGTGAAGCTGGTACGTCCAATATCTTAGGAGTAAATACTCGGGTGCAAAGATCCTGAATTTTTTCATCACTTAGCTCCTTTATTATATTAACTTAACTTATAATTTTCGATTTCTGGGTGTGTGTGCGGAAGGCAGGGAATCCGAGAGTAAATTCAAGGATTCAGTCTGTTCCTTGTTAACTTGATTGGTATTTGATGTTTCAAAATTCAAATCGCACGATTTTTCCCCTGAATTACTGGATAAGATCTTATCCACGATATCCAATATTCATCAATCGATTGTTTATTTGTTCTGTCCAGTCTTGTTAAAATTCATTTTTCCACTCCAAGCGTTGAGAAAGGCCAGGATGACCTTAAATAATCCCAATGTAGAAGATCCGAAATAGCCAAAATTACGTCTAGTCCTTATGCTTTCAAGTAATTGGTTAAGGCTTTCAACATTTTTCTGAAATACTTCTTCCCAAACTACATACTTGATTTTCCCCATTTTGCATGAATTTCGCCAATTTTGAAAAAAAGCGCAATTGTTTTTTATCGTCTTTTTTCAAGTTATGACTAATATGTCCTCCCAAAGATTTCATTCATGTACCTCTATAGTTGCCACAACTTCAAAATAGAGTTTCATTTTGGTTTTAAATGGTGCCTTATTTAAATCCACTTATTGATTAAACTGGCATGTCGTGGCTCCAAAGGGCATGGTCGGAATATCGGTTTTCTCACGCTTTTCAAAGTTATCATTTTTATCTACTGGCAAACAAGTTTAATCTCAGACATCATTATAACTGGCTAAACGGAAAAATTGAGGTGGGGAAATGGAGCGAATTGGGAGCTTCAATGACAACGCGATTTTTCGAAATTCAGTCTGCTAATTGCAGAACACGTTATGCTAGTTCCTGTATATTCTCTTCTGCGGTTTAGTTCGCATTAATTGTCGTTCATTTAGCACTTACAACTATGCGTGGTACCAGCATACCCATTTCGTACATCGTCTTGGATCACTGTTAGACATGGTTACTAATTATAACTCAGGGAGGAGTGACGTTATTGGGTAAGCAGTTGTCACACTTCCGCTAAATGTGGCTTCATTAATTCCATGTTTAATTTGCAAAGTGGTGTTGTTGTCGTCGTCACATTTCTGCCAACCAGAAGAGACAACTGTCAAAGAAACTAAAATGGGCAATTTTCTAATTGGCGACGATAATCTCTCAGTTTGTCTCATTCTCCACCGACTCTTAACAAGAATTATGCAGCTCGATTTTAGAACGCAAATTCATACCCCTAATGGGTTTGGAGAATTGTGTTTTACTCCCTTTATCTTCAAAGAGAGGGAGAGTTGGAAAAAAGTTCCTCGAGTCATTAGCCAGTGAGCAATATCTCCCTCTCTCTCTCTCTCTCTCTCTCAAATTCCTTTTCTCCACATCTTAAAATCAGACTGCAATTTCGTAAAATCAGTTGCATATCTTGTCGCCATTCTTCAGACACCTTCAGAGACATTACAGTCACTTCTGAAATAGCGTGCTTGTGTGTCTCAACTGCCAATGAAATTAAGTTTTTAATCTCGAGGTCACCGCAGTACTTAATTCTCAAGCATATTTGCTCTTATCTACTCCGGTGGAATTCTAATATTTCAGACTCAAAAGTAATTGGCGTTTTAAGGCACCTATTTACTAGAAGTCGCATATCAAATAAGTGGTTAAGTGCACAATTATATTCGTATTATCAGCGGGAAAATGCATAGCGCAGAATCAGACGTGTGTATGTGTATAGAAAGAGAGGGAGAGGGAGGGAGAGAGAGAGAGACAAAAAAACGAGGAGATAAAGGTTATACTACTTGTTTGCCGGGGAATGATAAATGGGCGTTGGGGGAATGATTTATCATTTTAGTAGTCTTGGGACGTGTGTGTGTGTGTGTGCGAGTGGACGCAGTTTATTTACCCTGAATGATATTTGCAGATAAATGCATAAACAGATCATCATGGAGAAAACAGCTTTTGTTTAATTTGCGATAGGCACGCAATACATGATTATATATATATATATATACATATACATATATGCTTGCCTTATTAACTTGCAATCGATTAGCTAACACATAAGTCAAGCCAAAAGATTTGCGAAAGATTGGTGTCCCATAGTAGTGACCTTCAAGAATTTCAAATAGCAACCAGTGCAATTTAATCTGGTACAAGTTACCATACGATCATATCTTGTAGAATGAGTGATCACTTGTTGGGTCTAACTTAGATTGAAGGAATTTATACAATCTATTTTTTTGACAAATTAAATAGTTAAAGTAACATACTCTAATTGATTCTAAATCTTGTGATTTAAAGCTGATTCCGAATCAAATAATATCTGCCAAGATGCTTGGTTAAAAAATTCATCTGCAAATCTATTCCTTAATGGGATGAATATTTAAATTTCCTTCGCGTTCCACTTATCTACCTTTATGCCATTTAAGTACATAATGAAATTTTTCGCAATATATTATTCAATGTAACTTGGAGTTCGAAGGCTAGTGTCTCTTTTAATTTAATCTGCCGACTCGTTAAGTCTTGGAAGAGTATCTGGTGGAAAATAGGCTTCTAACAGAGGAACTGTGAACTGGTTTCATTCACTGGAACATGTAGACATGATTCGAGATGGTGGCAAATTTTCATATTTTTTTTGAAATGGGATAAGTTAACAGAGTTATATGTTATGGAATTATACTTCCCGGAAATTTGTTCCCACTTTTGTTCCACTATCGGTAATAGAGATAATCGATAGCACATACGCTATAGCCCATCGAACCAAATGATGTTCATGTATGAGACAGCCTAAAGATTCTTCTTAATGGTGCTTTTTTAGTCCAATAAAGCTCCCGCAGTTGCCCCAGTGACCCCTTGACGGTGGAATATGTACCCTATATAGACAAGGAGGAACATCGAGATAGATATATGTGGAGAAAGGAGCCGTTAGAGAGGAGGGGGGGGGGATGGAGGGATGAAAGGAAGGGGAGGGGTAGAGGTTCGAGCTAGCGAAGGAAGGAAGAGACACGATTAATTGAACTGGTGTTATGTGATTTGAAGTAATGCGTATTCGTGGACGAAAGGAAAGAGTGAGATAGAAACAAGAAGTAGGCGTGCGCGCTCTAAGCATCCGATCGTAGTGGGCATCCTTCTCTCGCCTCCATCTACTCTCCACATTTTAACAAGCGAATACGCGTTGTCTGCATTCACACATCAACAACCGAACATTCAGGTGTAAAGTAAGACGAATTCAAACAACAAGCAGTTTTTAATCGTTTCATCATTAAACCAACGTACCCTCACTTCAGAAAAAAACACAAATCACCTCGATTGACTCCATATTGATTGGAGATTATCAGACCATTTTCAGTTCATTGAATATATTTGTACACATACGATAAATATTCTTCTTATTGGCTACACACAGCCAATCGCTTTTCATGAATCGCTGAGTTTATAGGTATGGTGGCCGACGCACAGAGAAAAAACAGGTTCCTAAATAAAACCTTGTGCTTTTAATGGTATCAAATAATCGGAAACATAACAGGGTAGAGCGAGTACAACGCAATAATCGATATAATCGATACAATTTAACGGGATTCAAAATGCTCTCTAAGTCAATCTACATAGCAGTATTGGAAGAGTTAAAAGTCTCATTTTTGTCTTCCACGAGTGGAGTCCTTCATTTGTCGTAGTCGCAAAAATTAAATGCAAAATAAAATTTGTTTCTTTTAAAATCACGAAAGCATTTGTGTAAGTACTTCATCGGTCTGCACTTTTTTCTCTCCCCCCTGTGTAGGTATTTTTAACGAGCGAGAAAAAAAAAGTTGACGAATGTTACTGCTTCTTGGTTGGGTAGCAAATAGCAAGAAAGGTGATGTACGCTAGAGGCAACTTAGTTTTCCAAGTATCTGTGCACCCCGTGACAAGAAAATTGGCATCTTCTTAACCATAAATTCGATTCTGAGCGGGTATTTCCTGAGAAATTTCTATCTTTCCACAAGTTAGGTAGAGAGATGTCTACTTTGGTTATCTCGTTACTATGGAAATAATTTTGCAATGGAATTCAGACTATTTGGATTCGTCTTCTTCTTCTCTTTTTAGGCGATGGCTTCGCAAAATCTATCGGATCAGCAGAGAATCTAGATGACTTCGACGACGATAAGTCTACAAAGCGCCAGAAAAAGCGAGGAATCTTTCCCAAGGCTGCTACAAATACTATGAGGGCTTGGCTATTCCAACACCTTTCTGTGAGTCATTTTCCCTTTTTTAACATTGTGTGTCACACTTTTCATAAATTACTCGAGCCTACATTCCCCCTCCCCTCCCCTTTTAGCATCCATATCCATCGGAAGAGCAAAAGAAACAATTATCCTCTGAGACAGGGTTAACGATACTCCAGGTCAATAACTGGTGAGTTGTATTTAGAGTAGTCACTGGTCTGCTGCCGAGTGTGTGACACATGAATGTAATGTGAAAAAAGAGAATTTAAATTTGACGTTTCGCGGAGTATAATATCATCACCCGCGCGCTTTCTCTCTCTCTCTCTGTCTCTGTCTGTCCCTCTGCATTGTCGATGGTAAAAACTAAAACAACAATAGTGAGGACATGAAAGGTTGAATTAGTTTGCTTGCATAATGTGGATTATGGGTGAATAGGTGCAGGTATGACGACTGATGCTTGGAGAGACATGCCAAGTTGACGTACAGGCATTTCTTATTCTTTATCTCCTAATTATATACCCCTCTTTCACCTACTATGACTCCGATCTGCAGGTCCTCTGTTTGTGTTAGTCCTATCTTTGCTTCTGCAATTTGGCAAAGCATCCCTGCGCTTATTTAATTAATAAACCTCATGCGTTCTTCGAGTGTTTGTGGGAAAGTAGGTTTTTTTACAGAAACAAGCGGTCCTATCTGTTCTGTCATGAAATTCTTTCATAATCGCTTCTCTCTGTGTGTGAGCGCGCGCGTGTGTGTGTATGTGTGTACTACTTCAGCATGTAGAGATGCTAATGGAACAAAGTGATATATGCCATCCTTCAATATCCAACGTTTTCACTGAATACGACAGTAAGAGATTTTGAATTTCTGCGGTTTCACACTTCAACCCAAATCTACTTTTTTTGGGAAATAAGCGGTCTCTTCTTACGAATGTGGGATGGTAGATTGGGATTGAGGCTTTGAATAATGTTTATTTTTCATAAATTACCAGAATTGGCATTACTTGGTCAAGACCGTTAATTTTCATTGCTTCCAATGGCTCAGATCTGCACATAGTCTGATTTTCTATTTGTGCTACCTTTACCAGGTGACATTATATTCACCGGAGCTTTAGAGGTTCCACATTTTCTACCCTTTCTCTTGGGATGCCTATCAATAAAGGTAATAATAGGAACCTCGGAAAGAATAGAGAACAAGAAATGTCAGCTGTATTAACTCTGACTTGGCATTTAAAGAACTCGGAACGAAAAGTTCGTAGAGGTGCCGCAATGCATTTACGCAAATTCTAATTCATTACATTTTTACTGATTGAACGGAACAAATTATATTTTCCTTATTGGGGGAATGAATTTTTGAGATATCACCCGTCATCCACAGATTTCCTGTGTGTTGGCATTCAAGTGGGTGACAAACTTGCCAAAATTCCACATAAAGGGGTGGAAATCCGATTTGAGGTAGGCACTGTGCTTATTGTTCTATTGTCACCTCTCCTTCCTGTTCTGCCAACTATCAAGATCCTATCATAAATCCTCTCACTCACGATGCATGCTCCCATATATACCTTGACCCCTACCTCTCCCTCCTCCAGTCATCATCATCATGTCACAATTTTCGCAAGAGATTGTCGATGCATCTCGCAGAGAGAGATATCTATGACTTCATCACCAATGTGAGCTCAGGACACTCATCTCCTGTCACACTTGTCAACCCACAAGGTTGGTGGGGGGGGGGGGGGGGGGACGGTAGGATCTCCCTTATTGAATTTACTACCCAATCCCCTTCATCCATCTGCCTTGATATTACATTGTGATGGTTAAATTAACTCCATTTAGTTTAACGATAACCTACTGACAGTCTGAAGTATGCAGAGATGTTTAGGAGAGCTTTATCTCTGAGATACGGGTCGTTCATGAGATAGATTTATCATCAACTATCGACGTTCTCGTTCACGGTTGTCCATACTTCCCTCTCGATTCAATTGTGTATGTGCATGTGCTTATAATTAGAGAGAAAGAAAATCTGTGAGTGTGTGTGTGAGAGAGAGAGAGAGAGCAATGCAAAATCTGTCGGTGTCCATGCGTAAAAGTCGGAATATAAGTACCTACACACAAATAAACAAATAAATTTGTCGTCGCCCGCGTTTATATGTAACAAAAAGTCAGACCCCTCATTAGCCCCATAGCGGCGGTGATTTCGTTGAAAAATTTGGCATTTTGCTAGCTGTGACAGTAAACTAATCACTCAGGCCAATCTAAAATAAGAGAGAATAACCCTCTCTATTTTCCCCCCTATTTTAGGTTCATCAATGCAAGACGGCGAATTGTACAACCGATGATCGATCAATCAAACAGATCAGGTCAGGCATATGTCCTATTGCCCCAATTTCTTAAACTTAGAGAAAATATGCCATAAGCAGGTCTAATGTATAGAACTAATCTTTCTTTGGTTGAACCATATTAGCTACTGAAATCATTATGTGAGTAGTTGAGAATAACTTTGATTAAAGATTTCATAAGTGAATTTTTCCCAAATCTAGTTTGCAAATGAGAGTGCACAAAATGCACAGATTCTCGAGAATGCATTAATTCCTTCTACCAGTAAAGGAGGGTGGGGGGGGGGGGGGGGGGGGGTTAAATTTATGGTTCTAGTTGTGTGTTTGGCGACAGAGAGAGTACTGTCACAGTAGTCGCGCCACGACTCCCTCCACGATTTTAAAATCTGGAGTGTTTCTGTTGGGGTTGTTGTTTGACTTAAAAGCGTGGGGTTCAGACGCTTTTCATTAAGCGACGGCCACAACATCTCATTAAATTCCTTCACTTTGCCTCAATTTAACACCATTTCAACCTCAATTTAGTTTACTGCGTTTGGAAAATCTGATTGAAATTAGGCATTACTTGAATTAACACGAGCTTAAATAGAGCACTGTACGCGCACTTATTTCATTTAAACAAGTACAAATACCAACTTTTATTTAAGTGTTTTTGTTCATGTAGGCCCTCTAGGATATTCAACTGACCCCCCTGGACGCGTTTCTTACATGGATAACCAACATTTTGCCGCTTATGGTCAACCAGGTAAGTAGCCATATTCACAATGTTGATTATAAACAAACTCAAGACAGAAGCTTTCGTCATGAGTTTTGTAGCTTGGCAGATGTTAAATACCCTCTGTTCCAGAGAGTTTGATCTAGCAAGGGGAAAGACGATAATGGGCGGTAAGGGGGGGGGGTCACATTTGAATGTAATTAATGCTCCTAGTCAGACAAAACATAGACCGGAGCGTGTGCGTACACGACCATTATACATAGATGTTAATTCGCTGTCTTTTTCTTAGTCTTTGCCTTTTGACTGCTTGATATATCGTCGGGTGTGTGTGTGTGTGTGTATGTGAATACGAATGCAAATACCTGGCAGCTGGTATTTACCTTTCGAGAAACTCGTTCAATCGCTAGTGGCGGCTACAATAGTCAGTAGTCGTTGTACTGGTGGTCCCGAACACCTGGCATGCATCTATATGCCGGAACTTCCCCACCTCCTTTTCTACTCGCATTTTTTCCATTAAAGTTATTCGACTTTGAAGATGAAATGGTGTAAACACACTCGAGCTATTTTTGTTGTTCATCAGCCAAGGCAGTAGCTGAAACATCATAGAATAGACACGAGAATGCGTGGAAGAGGTAATAAAGTGAAATGGTAAATAGATGCCTGGCCATTTCTTTCTCCATGCTTCTCCTGCATGCTTACTATTGCTTTTAATTAGTCAAATTATGGTTATTTGAAGTTGTAAATTACGTTAAGTATTTTTTCCTAATTTGTCCCTTATAGAGTTTTCTCAAAATTCAGGACTGTATGCAGCTCTGGCAGCCGCAGCTGTGAGTGGTGGAATGATGGATGGACGAGGTTTGATGGGTACGACGTCAAGTCCGGATTTGCCAGGACCCGTTAGCAACGGAGCCCCAACTGGTGACCCTTCCTCTTCTTACGCTCCTTCCTCCTACCGATATCCATCACACTCAGGTTATTCCGGGGGTCACCCAACCCCAGGAGCATTCACATCTTCCGGTCAGCCTTCAGTAGGTTCAATGAGAGGTTCGCCAGTTTCTTCAGGATACTCCCCACCTGCTCAATTTCGTCCAACACAAAATGGATCAATTATAGGTGGGGGATATGGAAACTTTTACGGAGGTCAAGAATCCCAGCAAAGTCAACACCTCAGGAGACAGACCTCTTTTGGTGGTGATTTAGGAGTAAATACTGCTACTAATAATGGACCTGCAGCAGCTGGTAGTAGTGAGAGTGGAGGATCATTCGGTAGTGGTGTGGGAAGTGCGAGTAGTGGCAGTGGAGCTGCAGATGGAAATGCCTCAGCATTCGTGTCTCAGCATCATCACCATCATCACCATCAGCATTCTGACTCGGGGCCCTTACAACAGGATATTCACGCTACCTAGTTATTTCATTATATCATAACATCACTCGTCTCACAAGCGATTTCAGATATGTCTATCTTCACGCATTCTTTCATCGCACAGATACTCTCCCTCCTCTCTCCTTTCCGGAAACTCCCGCCTCTGTTTCCACCTTCCTATATGATTGAGATAGATCTTTTCAACATCTATCTGATATGTGTACACATACCCTCTCCTGAAAGAAAGCATCCCTTATTGTTTGACTAGAGCGCGCCAATGTGAAACTCTTTACTTATATATTACTCTCTCTCTATCTATCTATCTATCTATCTATCAATACCGTTGTACAGCAAAGGAATTTGCACTGATTAAACCCTTTTTGCATTAGACTGGGACCTCAGCTTCTTTTTATTGTTCTTCTCTCTCTCTCTCGCTCCATTAAAGATCGGCGGGGGGGGGGGCTGGTTGTGATAGCTATTATCTTGATGATAAATCAAACTTGAGGCATTCAGAAAAGCGGGTGTGTGTGCGGGGTGGGGGGGGGGNGGAGGGGAGGGGAGCTGGGATGAACAGTCACGGATGTTCAAGATGCTATTTCTTCATCCCCCTACCCTCCTTCACCTATTTGAGGGACATGAATCATTTTAAACCGAGGAGAATGAAGAGTCGGATTAGTCATATGGTGGCTTTTGTGCGAACGGACTGGGGAGTGGGTTGGAAGGAAGGGAAAGTTTGCGTGGGGATGGTAGTTTTTGTGAGGTAAAGAGGTGCAGTATGTGTGTATGTGTGTGGAAAGTTGTTCCTTCTATCCGCCAAAGCTGAGAGGCACACTGTGACTCAGGTGGCAACAAAGCGGAGAAATTTGGGATGCATTATTACCTGCTTACCACCGCAGTGGCAGACTCGGAAATTTGATGAAAAACCGGCACTGCAAGTGAGGCAGTAAAAATGACGGAAGCCGACTTTTTTCTTCACGTGCGTACATAGGATTTTGGAAGGAGAGTTGAAATGTGTCTACGGCTTTTCAAAACCTCCCAATTTGACTAGTGACATTGACAAGACTAAAAAATCTATAAGTCGAATCACGGTGGTCCGTGCTTGTCAAAGGGCATTTGTTCCTTTCTAAGCACTAGCATGTAGAGCGAACTAACTTAACTCAATGGATTTCACTTGACAAATTTACACTGGCATTACATCCTGTTCAAATATTCAAGTATAATAATTTTTCCAGTGACTTTCCGAATGCACTCCCACTCGAGCCTTCCAGAACTTGCTGATCAAGAGACCGGATGTTGATCATAATATTCATGAGATACTCTTTTTCATTCCTATAGATGAGATATTAATGAGATTTCAACTTGCTGGAGCTTGCCCAACATTTATTTATTTCAAATGGCTGGCGTTTTGATAGTTATCATTAGCCCTTTAGTTGACTTCAGGCTTCACAGAAAGGAGGGGGGACAGAATAATGATTTACAGAAGTAACAGAGACAGACAAAAAAGGAAGAGGAGAGGTAAGATGAGTACTGTGAAAGGGATCGAATATGGTATACAGTGGGGTGATGGTAGTTTGAAGTCAGAAGTCAACTGTCGGTTTATAGACTGTTTTGCCGTATGAGTATACGCTGCCCAGGGAGGTAAGTCTATCGCACACCCCACTTGCCCAACATTATAAAGAACATAGTTCGTCTCCATATTGTTATACTTCACAATTATCTATTGCCTGTAGAGCGCTTCTCATCGGTTCACTTCTTGATATTTATAGAAGACCTAAGCTCTCTTCTGGTAATCTTGAATAATTTCCTCACTTTTATACGAGCAA